TCCCTCTGCGTATTCTAAGGAATTTCAGCATTTTTGTTGTCTGTTGAATTCTAGGGCTGTGCAACCGAATTGGTCTGTGAAGTGAAATGGGACCAGGGTGATGCTTTAGACCGCTGCTCATGTCCTCAGGCTCGGAGCTGGAGGTCGCTAGGCTGGGGTCGGGGGAGCCGCCCTCCCTGCCCTCAAGTGGGGCGGGTCTGGGCAGTTTTCCAGTTATTGGAGTCGTGGGAGTCCAGGGGCCTCTGGGCAGGGAAGTGAGCAACACCACTAGCAGAAGGGGCTTCTGTCGCTGTCCTCCCTGCTTTGTTTCTCTCTCCCCCAAAACTGCACTGCCCAGGGTCAGAGACAGGTCACCAACCAAAGGCCCACCTTAGCTGGGTCTCTGAAACACACAGATACCCCCCCCCCAAAACTCTGGCCTTCCTTTACCAAAACGTGAATCTTCCGGAGCTCAGGCTAGAGCAATGGAGTCCAGCCCTGAGCTCTCCTTCCTCCCAGGCCCTCCTCACCCCAGCACGAGGCCTGGGCAGCAGGCAATGGCAGGAAGGGCCGTTAGAGCTCCATCCAGGCTTCCCTCCCTGACACCCTTCCCATCTTGTGAGAGAGAAGGGGAGGCTTCAGGACTCCTGAAGGACAACCCCAGCATCTCTCTAGTCACCTGCGCTGCAAACAAGCAGGCTAGAGAATATGGGATGACTAACTCGGATCACTCACTTCCCGTGATCGAAACGCAGGCCTCCTAGAAACTCAGCTTTCACCAGAATCTCAGCTCTGCTGCACCCCAACCAAAGAAAGTAAGCCCTCTGCAGGGCACGGTGCCAGGCAGGCCCTGCGGCCCTAACCCACAGCACGAGGGGGCTCCTACAGGTCCCCTGAAAATGACAGCTCTGAAAGACACTTGGCACCACGGCAGCTCTGCACCAAGCAGAGCAGCAACAAGAATTCCAAACTGCCTCCAAAACCTACTCTCTATATACTCATACAATCAAAAATATGAAAACTAATGATTGCAGTTTTCCTGTAAGGACACCTTCCAGACGGCTCACCTGAAATATCCATTCTCTAGCTCCTGTTACAGTTTGCCTGTGCTAGAGAAGGCGGGTGGTTCCCATGTAGGCTTCCTAGAGGCGCCGTGGCCGATCCGGGCAGTGAGGGGACCTGGGCCCAGAGGCCCCTTTGATGGCAGCCTTCCTTCCTGCTGGGAGTGCCCGTCCTGATCCATACCCGGGCACCTCCACCAGCCAGCCAGGCCCATTCCAACAGCTAAGAGCTAAGAGGCCTGGATGCTCTTTTAGGAAGTCTGTTCAATAGCAAGAAGGCTCTGGGTTCTAGAGAGAAATGGACAGCAACAGACTCACATTGTCATCTGCTGACCTCGAGACGACTCTATTGTCCCCTGGCCTGTCAGTGCCCAGGCCAGTCGGCCCCAGGGGGCAGGGGTTAGCACCAGCTGCCTGCTGGAAACTAGCTTCCTGCTCAGACAGGAGGCCAAGGGCTCTGTGCCCCGGCACTAGCACCCACTACCTCCCCCAGTCAGGAGCCACGAATCTCTTTGGCACCATGCTCCACCTGGCACCTGTGGGGAGGAGGCTGTCATCTGCTGTCTCTAGAACCCTATTTCCAGAAGGAAAATGGGCCTGCTCTTTGGAAAGAAAATTCCACAGGGAGCACACTCAGCAATTTCCCCAGGCCCTCTTGGTTTTCCTCACTCCACTGCCTCCAACCTCAGCTTCATCTAGAGCAAGCGTAATGAACCCCACCTGAATCCTCGTGCGACTCTACCTCAACCTGTTGAAGCACAGTTCTCCTTTGGAAGATGACCCGATACCTGTCCCAGTGCCCCCCCAGGGCTGGAGGTGGATGAAGTATGTCCCAGCTTAACCAAGTTGGCACATTCCCAAGGCCCCTGACACTTCTACCAAGTTCTACTGGGATACCAAGCCCACAGACTGGGCTGGAAGAAAGGCTGGTGATTGTTAACTCTTGTCCCTGCAGGGGGAGCCTGTGACCCCTGGGGCATCTGGTCCATTCTGGGGCCTAGTCAGGACTGGGAAGAGCAAGCGCTGTGGAGCAGTCAGCCACAAGGGCTCCTGTACCCAGCATTCCCTCCTGAGCGAATAAGCCGGCCGGCCCACGCCAGTCGCTTGGGTGGAGCACCAGGCCCAGCTAAGGTAGAGCTCAAGCCACTGGGGAAGGCCAGCTCCTTCACACAACAGTGGCTTGGGAGAGCCAGAAGTGTTGGAAGAGGAAGGCCCATGAGGATTCTGTCCTGACACTGGGAGCTGGGAAGACCTTGGCTTTGGCCATTGGGGGAGGGAGCACCTTGGACTGCCTGAGGCAGCCCTCCTCCCCGCAGCCCTCCTAGAGTGGCACCACTGGAGCAAGAAGGGGACAGGCAAGCGGGGCAAGCACCTGCAGTCAGCACAGGGACTCCGGAGGGGCACCGGGCTCCCCCACTCCTAGCTGCTCCAGCCCCGCGGGGACCCAGTCACCACCTGCCGTACAGTAGAGGTGGCAGGAAACAACTGGGTGTGATCTTAAACACCAATCTAATAAGGAAACAAGTAGATTGGGGGCCAGAACTAAGCACCCCAAAAAGGAGACAACCACCAGCTGTGTGAGCTTACTAAGCAATGAGCAGGGGGCCAAAGCTTCAGTTTGGTTTTGTCACTAATTATTAATTTGCTTTATTCAAAAGATGAGGTTCATGGTCCCATTTTTTTTTCCCCAATGGAAGCCCCCTGGTCAAGATAGACCTGGATGTCAATTTGATTTTAGTTTGGGGAGAATAGGTAGGGGGAGTTGAAGGCTGACTTTACTGGTGCCTAGAGTTGCAGGTCAGTATCACAGGTTGCTAACAGAAGAATCTTTTGACATCACCAGGGGCAAAAGAGATAGAACACTACCTGCTAGAGGAGAGCACCTGCTAAAATAAAACCTCCTCCTTTTCCTGCCTTCAGCACCTAGCAACTTCTGGGATTGACAGTCTACCTGCAATCAGGGCAACAGAGGTAAATAGCTGCACGGGCTGACTCCACAAAGTCCAGAACCCTGGGAGAATAGCGCTGGGAGCTCCCTGGCGTGTGTGTGTGTGTGAGTGCATTCGTTATGCATCGGTACAGAATAGAAATGTTCCTGTGTATGCGTGTGAGACTGATTGATTAGTGTGGGGCTTCCGTCTGCAGTGGGGACCGAGGCTCAGCACACTGAGCCTGCGCCCCCCACTCCCCACTCCATAATATTTCTTATACATGACACTATCTATGTATTTATAGAGCGCCTATCACCGTAGGCCCCATCTTTCTAGGGACGAGGACTTGGGGCCGTGTGCTTGCCGGCACACCTCCCAGCTCTGCCAGTCCCAGGAGGTGCCATCCCCCCTCCCATTATAAAATATATATCTCTATATGCCACATATCTACACCCCATCTACCCAGGCAAGCACCTGCCCGTCGGGCCCTCACCCTGGAGCCAACAGCGCCATCCCTTCCTACCGCCAGCGCCAGGCTGCCCGCCTTGGCAGGAAGTGGGACAAAGTGCCGAGCACTTGCGGCTCCAGTTGCTGCTGACTCGAGGGAAGAGCACAGCTATCATCAGACCAAGTACTAGAAAAGAAATACACACCACTCCAATCACACACACGAGGAGAGAGACTGCCCGGTCCTCCCTCCAGCCCTGACACACCTGACTCAAGAGGAGGGGAAGTAGAAGAGAAGAGTGATGAGCCCGGAAGGCAGGCCTTGGGGACTCCATGGCCGTCCCGCTGCCACCGCGCCCAGTGGCCCACCTGGCCCGAGGGGTGGGGAGCCAGGGCACCAGAGCCACCTAACTTAGAAGCACCCTGCTCCCCGCACCTTGGTTTGAAACCTAAAGGGAAGGGTGTTGGGTTTTTGTCTTCTTAAAGAAAATCTTAAAACAAACATAATTATAACCAGAACCATAAGAATAACTATAATAAAAGGTGTCATCAGCCTCCCAGTATAAAACTGCAGCCTTTGGAGATGACCAAAAACATCACATTCCAGGGGCCGGGAGCCGCCTTGTGCACAGAGGGGTGGATGGTGGGGGCCTCATAAAAGAACACACAAAAGGCGACTTAGACAGGAAAGCACCAGTACGTTTTGTATGTTTTTTTATTTGCTCCAGGTGGGGTTTTTAACTGTCACGTTCCCACACTCTGGATAATTTCTGATCCCACCACAAGGAGCCCTCGAATAGGCTGAACTGAGAAATTGGGAATGAAGACTCCTTCCTCTGCCATCTTGCCGAGGGAGTCTCCTTTTAGAAAAAAATCAAAGGTTATTGCATGAGTCTGGATGAATTCCACGCTCAGCTTTCCACGGTCTGACAGCCTCCTCTAACCCCCTTTTTTGGCAGGGAGAAATGGGAGAACGCTGCTCCCAAATCCTCCTTCTTCACTTTGTGTAAAATCCAAGGGGAAAAACCCACCTTGACGGCAAGTCATCTGTGAGCTGTCTCCCTCTCTCCATCCTCGGTCAAACCCTTTGCACATAAGGCAACGTGGAAGCTGATGTTTTTACTCATCTCGCTGTTTTAAAGCACCATTATGAAGTCGGGTTGTACAGTAGTTAACAGTACCTTTTATATATATATCTCATATCTATCATATATATATATAAACTGTAAACAAGAGGTAACAGCGGCTTCTAGAAACTGATTTTCTTCAAGGTTTCCTGTGTGGTAGGCACCTGAAATACTGTAGAAAAGTGTAGTATGTGGTGTTCTTGTCACCCTGCTGCTAGCTGGGTTCTGTTCTGCATGACCAGGAATGGTGCTGGCAAGACAGCTCGGTGGCTGGGAGGGAATTCTGCCACCTGAGTGTCTCTCTGTTTCTGCCTCCTGCTTGTGCTCCTATCTGATCAGGCTAGAGACAACAACAACAACAAAAAAAGAATACCCAATATATAGATAGATTTCTATAGAATTTTCTTTTCTTTTTTCCTCTCTCCCATCTTTCCTCTTGCAAGGTATTGTTACTATTTTTTTTTACTGATTTTTGCTGCAATAACCCTCTTGTTTCAGTCACAGCAAGAAACAAAAACCCAAACAAACAGAAAACCCCTCTGAAAAGAGTAGAAAACAAAAGGTCTGACCAAATAAAAGGGGGGGGAGGGGCTTGGTTTTGTTTTTAAATAGGACTGAAGATTAACATTGAAAAATCAGGAGATGATGTCCAACCCTTTTCGCAAGGCATGACCCTCCGGTATTTCCGCCTCTGTGGTTTTTGTTTTAAATTTCTTTTTCTCTTCTGGGTGCTGATACTTCTCTCCATCCTCACGTTCTTGGTGTTTTATTATGTTTTGTGTTTTTTTTTTGTTTAACTTTGTGTCACTACCTCAGTTTGCCCCCATGTCCCTTACACACAAGCAAAATATTCCTTCAGCGGAGCGAAGAGGTGGCGGATGACTGGCACGCTCCACGACCGGCCCAGAAGTCTCTGCCTGGCCAAGCGGCTCATGTTGGAGACGTCGGTATAGTGGACGGGGAAGCCAAACACCCTGGGGGAGAGAAGGCAGAGAGGGTGGGGTGAGGACTGGCCTGGCCAGGGCCAGGTTGCCTGGAAGCCATCGGACTATACACTGGGACCAGGTGACCAGCAGCTGCCCCAAATGCAAGGACAAGGTACACCCAACACACCCTGATGCATGCTTGGTTCTGTTGAATCTCCTGTCCTTTACAACCAACAATTCGACACTCGGGTCACCAGCCATGTGCCAAGCATTTTGCTAGTTTCTGGGGATTTAAAGGTAGTAAGGTATTCACTGCCTAGAGATTTATAACTCAGCAGAAACAGAGTATCTTGAAAAATCCTTCAAAAACACCTCTAGGACAGGCTCCACGATTCCCCCCCAGTGGAGATTTCAATACACAATGCAGATCTCAGTCTACATGTAATAAATATATACCCCTAGTAGGCCGGGTGCAGTGGCTCATGCTTGTAATCCTAGCACTCTGGGAGGGCGAGGCGGGTAGATCGCTCAAAGTCACGAGTTCGAGACCAGCCGGAGCAAGAGCGAGACCCTGTCTCTACTATAAATAGAAAGAAATTAATTGGCTAACTAAAAATATATAGAAAAAATTAGCCAGGCATGGTGGTGCATGCCTGTAGTCCCAGCTACTCAGGAGGCTGAGGCAGGAGGATTGCATGAGCCCAGGAGTTTGAGGTTGCTGTGAGCTAGGCTGATGCCACGGCACTCTAGCCCAGGCAGCAGAGTGAGACTCTGTCTCTAAATAAACAACCAACCAACCAAACACACACCCCTAGTATCTTCCTGTACAAGATGAGAAAAACTAAAAGGAGTTGAACTCTTGCCTGACTCTAGAAGTTGAAGGATTGCCTATTTGCTCTGGTTGTTTGTGTAAGTGGTCTCTTTGTCTGGCTAAATCCTAGTTATACCCAGAGAATGAGAAGATAATCCAGCCTCTTGAGTCCAGTTTGCACCAATCCAGGGTGCTGAGGCTATAAGGCCCACCTGCCTGGTCCTATGCTATCTTGGTTAACAGAATTCCTACAACATTGGCACCACAAGTTAAGAAGGCTCCTGTAACTGCAGTGTTTCCTTGGGGTTCAGCAGGAAATCTGGGAGCCAAAATATATGGATTGATTCCTGGACTTCTCTTACTATGGAACCTTAAAATACACTGGGGCCTGGCTTACCAGGAGTTGGCCATGTAGGGAAATGCTTGATAAGACCCACTGCCCATGTGGTATTTGGGGAAAACAAGTCTGGTGAGGAAAGGCAGAGAATCCTCCAACAAGCCCAGTGGATCGGAACAGTCCACACCACACCCATCCTGCCAGCACATCGCTCTAGGTACCTTTCCATTTCAGTGCACCATAAGATGTCCTCTTTCTCGTTCATGAAGACGGGAAAATGCTGGTCTTTGCCCTGCTTTATGGAGTTCGACCTAGTAGTAATGGTCCTTACTTTGCTGAACTAGAAGATGAAGAGTAGAAAAGAGGAATGAGCACAAATTCATTCAACCAACAGTGGTCAGGTGCCTACCGAGTGTGCCAGGCATGAGCCTCCGCAGATGCCACAGCCCTGTTTTTCTTCCTACTCTGAGGTTGCCTGGCTGTCCTTAGTCCGATCTAGCTGGCCGAAGACTTGAGAGGCAAAGGCTCTAGCCACTATACTTCCTAAGTCTTTCAAAGAATTGGTACTTTCAGAGGTCGAGTAAATTGCAGGCTAAAGGATGATGCCAAATTACTCTGGGGCTCATAGATGCCGTCTGGGGTGTCGGCAGTCTTGAGTGCTAGAACTGCTGACACTTGATGCCCCACGCACCCACTCCAGGAGATCTTAGCTCCAGAGAGAAATGGAGCATCCACGTCACAGGAGACTGCTCTGCTCTGAAGGTTTTTGCAACAGGTCTACATCTGGGGATGGCAGGCGACGCTCCCCAGGGGAAAAGGGCTGAAGGCCAGCAGCCCTGGGCTGTCCTCTGGCTGACTGGCTGCACGACCCTGCAGCATCTCCTAAAACACCTTCTCCACACTAGCAGTGCCCCCCAAGACCCCTGGAGGGGCAGGCGGGACACGCCCTGCCTGTCTCCCTGCCCCAGCAGAGGCGCTGACTCTTGGGCTGACCTTGGCTATCCTGCCGTGCTCCAGACACTCCTGCAGCTCCAGCTTATCATTCACAGTGGACGCCAATGGCCTAGGAGGCAGAAGAGAGAATGTCACAGCGGAAACCTGGGGAACAGCAGGAAACCACCCAGAGGTGCTACCCCTCCCAAAATCACACACCCATCATAAATCTCTTCAAACTCTCCTCAAACACACCGACACACACTGCAGCCATCCACAGACAAAAACCTAGCAAGTGTTAATCCTTAAAGGTAAATTCAAAAATGGTCTCAAACTACCACAGGCAGATAACATCTACCCAGAGGAGAGAAAAAAGGCTCAACTATTTTTACATGAGTTATTTTAAAACACACCGAGTTTTAGGTGTCGTACCACAAAGCAAACTTTGGGGGAGACAGATTGTTCTGTCTCGATTTGCGGTGATAGTTTCACGGTGTGTACGTTGGATGAAATTCAAACTGTACACCTAAAATGCATAGTTCAAAGACAGATTCTATACAGTTCCATGAAGACTAAAGTTCTATGACACTAAATTCGTCACTTCTCAGGGGGCAGACCAGATAACTGAAGATCACCTTTGGCGCTAACCTTTTCTGACATTTAAGAAAATTAAAAAAGGTTTCCCATAGCCCTGGCTCCAGGGTCTCAGCGTGGGGCCTGCAGTCAAATCAGGCAGCTCCCTGTGTTTACGAGCACAGTCTACTAGACCCTGCCCTGCGTGGCACCTCTGCTCCTCCTGGAGCCTCAGAATCTAGTGCTTGAGTTAGAAGCAACAGGTGAGAACAATCCCACAGGACAGAGTTCAATGGACCATATAAACCCATCTGTTTTCCCAATATACACGTGTGTATTGGGAACTTTGGGGGGGGGAGACACAGTTTCAGGCCAGCTGCCCCACTGCCCCACCGCCTTCCCCCACCAACAAGCTCTCGCAAAAGATGGCTACTCTGCCAAATGGGTATGACGATGGAAAGGTCCCACAACCTCATGTGAATGGCAAAGAGGGAGATTATTTGACTGGGGCAAGGTGACAAGATTCTTCCTATTTATAGGTATACCAAAGAGGTTTAAAATCTATGACTCAAAACATTCTGGAAACTATCTCTCTCCAGAATGCATATCTAGAATGGGGGGGACCTCATTCTGCTTTTGAACTGCAAACTCTGGAGCAATTCCTTTCTCTTCAAAGGCCTTTTCCTAATGCAATTATTACATCTGAGGAAATGAAATTGTATTCATTCCTGGATATTAAAATCTTCTTGTTGAGATAAGGTCTTGCTCTGTCGGCCAGGCTAGAGCACAGTGACATGATCACAGCTCACTGCAGCCTTGAACTCCTGGGTTCAGGTGATCCTCCAGCCTCAGCCTCCTGAGTAGCTGGGATTACACACAAGTGCCACCACACCCAGCTAAAATCTTTATCTGTGCAAACTAAATGAAGAAAATCCTTCCAACAAAGGCCCTAAAGCCAACACAGTGTGTGATTACTAAATTAAGCTGAACCCTCGTACTTGCATGGTGCTGCTTCAAGGTTTCCTCTCCTCTAGCAGGATGTGGCCCTTTCCCAACCCAACACCATCCTCCACAGCTTTACCCCAGGAGCATCTAGCGACCAGCTGGCTCTGGATACATCACCCATGTAGGAGAACCAATTATGTAACTCAGCAGCACAAATGAACTTTTAAATTTTCAAGGTCCTGCTTTAAGATCACTAGTTATTGGTTGCTCAGACAAGTACTTTATACCTGACTCCCCTTTCTTCCTCAAGGAAAAGGAAATAAAGAACTCAACAGAGGTCAGCCCGAGAGGGCCCACTCAGGACCCCCCCCCCACCCGCCCTGGGCCGTCATGCCTACAAACCCCAGCCCACAGCCACGCCAGGCCCGGGAGCTCTCACCAACCTGTTCATACCGGGAAGGTTACCCCAAAAGTAGCGGGCCCTGTGTGCAGCTGACACTTCTTTGGCATCAATCATCACAGGGTTGGACTAGAAAACAGAAGATAGTTTAAAGGTGAGTGGAGGAGGAATATTAAATAGCCCTGGATAATGTTGCTGGTTTAGAGCACTGAAGCCTCAAAGGTTCTTCTCTCTCAGGAACCACATGCTGGGATAACCTGAAGTCTCCAGGAAAAGCTGGAGTTAAACCTAGCCACATTCCACCCGTTCTCGCTGGAATATTCTAGACCAGCACTGTCCAACTGAACTTCTGCGATGATGGGAATGTTCTCTATCTGCACTGTTCAATGCAGCAGCCACAAGCCCACTAGCTACAGGTGGCTATTTTGTACTTGAAATGAGGCCAGGGTGACTAAGGAACTGAATTTTTAATGTTAAATAGCTCCACGTGGCTGCCATATTGGATAATGCAGCTTTAGACCACCCAGAGGCTCCGAGAAAGACATTGCCAGTGCATGCAGGTGTGTTCACTAAATGTCCTTATTACTAGCCAAGCAGATGCCTGCTCACATTTTAAAGTCAGAACACGGCTCAAAGGTTACTGACCAAGGCTCAGAGCTAAACTGGGACTTGTCTAAGGATTAAAAACTGAGATAAGCCATGTTTCCTTCTCAGGTGCTGTAAAGCATCCATCATGGTGCCAGGGAGTGAAGACGAGTCCTTCTGATCAGGGAAAATTGATTCTGGCATCTCAGGGGTCCCCTAGTGTAACACCACATAGAATGCCCAACCCCTGGACCCCACCTGATTTAGTGACAGGTCCTTCGATCTGAGGGCCACACCCACAATACTATCTATTAGAGTGAGACCACCAGTTCTTTCGGAGGTCACAGCTCCTCCCTTGCTATTTGGGAAGCCCAGAGTTTCCCAAACAGGCCCTTGCAAAGCAGAAGTCACCAGTCCCCAGCTCCACAATGCAGATGAGACAGGGATAAAGGTAGAAGCCATTAGTGAGCTGGCCAAACCAAGGTTGCTGGCTATACCTCGAGAAATCGCGAGATGTCCCTCTTGTCACTAACGCCCATGGCCACCACATTCTCAAAGAGCCAGAAGAAGGGGCGATCATCTCCCTCCTTGGGCCGCGCATCATGCAGGAGGCGGTAGAACTCAAAGAAGAGCCGGCCAGTGCCCTCTGAGAGGTCGGAAGAGAAAGCCATCAGCTGGGGACTGTCTGTGTAAGACAGCGGTGTGGCTCGGGCGTGGGGAGGGCAAGGGCAGACAGGGTCACTGGGAACAGCTGTCCCAGGGCAGAAGTATCCAAGGAGGAAACCTAAGTGCGGAAGCACCAGCTCAGAAGGTGGAGGGGCGAGGCCGGCACCTACCGTAGAGTCCCTTGCGGGCAGGGTTGACGATGGAGAGATCGTTGCAGGGACTGCCCCCAATCACCAGATCGAATGGGCCCCACTCCTGGATCTGGGAGGATAAAGGCAACATGATGGGCCTGCTGTCCAGGGACAGAGGCAGAAAGGAAGAAAGAGGAATTTCTGTGAATTTGGCAAAAAAGTCCTTTGGCGTGGGAGAGGAGACCCTGCTGCTCTACTCACTACCCCACTGTGCAGCCATGGGCAAGACTCTGAGGCTGTCTGGGCTCAGCTTCCGAAACAAGAAGTGAGGGGACCAACGTGGGTCATCTCTGAGGCCAGCAGGGAAACCAGGCAAGAAATGCAGCCACTCACTGGAAGGTGGTCTAGGCAGACGCTGAGTCTGAAGGTACCCTGCGCTCTGAGCGGTTTAGGCAGTGTCTGGGCATGGGAATGCTCTCCAAATGCCCTTCAGGATTCCAGAGGGCTTAGTTTCGGAGGCAGCCCCAGATAACTGGAAGAGCAGAGGCACACTGTCAGAGCCCCCCAGAAAAACGGGAGGCTGGTAGAGCTACTTATGGAAAACACTGGGAGCAGAGGAACCACCCAATCCACGGCACTCTACGGAGTAGAAAGGGCCCTGAAAGTAGCCCGGGGAGTAGCTGGAGCCCAGTAAGGCAAGCTCCCCAATTCCCACTCTAAACCACCCTGCACCTTCTCAAGGCAACGAGGAAAAATGGAAGATAAGGAGAAAGAGAGGCAGGGGTAAGGGGGACAGGAAGGGAGCAAATGAACCAAAGGAAAAGGGACAGGGGCTGCTCCAGGAGCCAGTGTGGTGAGCAGGGGGGAAGGCAGGGCGCGTCCCACTGACATACATGCTTCTGTGTGACGCTGCGGACGTCCCCGACGTACATGATCTTCCCCTGGTGCCGCACCATGCCCACCGTGATGGAGTCCTCGCACACCTCCGAGGCGATGTAGCGGTCCACCTGGATGCCCAGGTCCTTCAGCACCAGGAGCCCTGCGTCGGACGGCAGAGAGCGCTGTCACTCACAGCCATCTCCCCGGCACCCTGGTCTTAGCAGGTGAGCCCTGCGGCCACCAGGACTCTTGGGGTCAGCTGCAAGCCCAAGCCCTACTCACAAAGCAGCCTCAAACCCTTTCTGGGTCAAACTGGAATATCAAAATAAGCGCGTCAAGTCTGTTTCGAGCCTAGTGTGGCCTACTTGGGTGGTCAGAGCCCGGGAAGACTGACCAGAGGGCAGGTGGCTTCAGGATTCAGGGAGAACAGCAGCTGACTTTTCTGGTGGTCTTATCTTTATTGTTTCTACATCTACACCTTGGGGCCTTCCACACCTCCTTACTGCCTCCTGCTGCAATTCTACCCGCCCTTCGAGACTCAACCTAAACACCCCCTGGACTCCCCTTCCCTCCCCTGTAAGCCCTCAGCACTGTGCAACCCTTGCCACCTCCTCTGAGCAGTTTATAGTCCTCACTCAGCCCCTCTCTTGCATTGCAAATGCTCTTCAAGACAGAGCAGGAGGCCCCACTCACTGCGTTTCCTGCTGAGCCAACTAACTACACTGACATCCTTACGTCCTTACCACGATCCCTCCCCTCCACACCTGCTGAACTGACGCAAGGGAATAATCAGAACAGACCCCAAGAGCTTCAGGAGAAACAGGTACAGTGGCACCATTTCTACTGCTCCCAACAGATCCCCCCACCAAAGAGCCTTTACAGCCCCTTGGGTCGTGACGTGATTTAAGGCTTCCAGGTTCTAGCCTGGGAAACGAAAGCCATCAATGAGCTTCTGTAGGTTTACAGAACATCTGGCCTGCGAAGCCACCCCACCCTCACCCTCGGGCCAAGGTCCCCTCTCATCAGATGAGGGCACAGGTTCTGAGGAGAGCTATTTCTTTCTTAAGAACTGGGAAGCCCTCGGCCTGGGGCAGGGCAGGGGGTGGATATTCACGTCAGCACGACCTTCCAGGAGGCTTTCTGGCAACATCAAGAGCCACGTCAAAAAAATAGTGCCTACGAGGTGACCCAGCATCTCCTAGGGGTTTTTCCTAAGGAGATAATGGTTTAAGTGGATAAAGATGTGTAAGGATACTTGCCACAGCACTGCTTACAATAATGAAAAAGTAGTAAATGATCTAATAGGGGTTAGTTAAGTAAATTATGGGACTTTCACTCAATGGAATCCTACACAGCATTTATAAATAAAGAATTTAGCTGTGTATTTCTTGACATAAAAAAGTGGCCATAAAAATGACAAGGCAGGGAACAGGATGGTATGCATTTCCTATCCTCTTTAATGTACCTGTCTATATATGTATGATTATATAAACACACACACAAAAAAATCTGAAGGACAAATACCAAAATATTAATGAAAAGGTAACAGGTGTTTAAATAAGGCTTCTTTATGCTACCTTGTATATAAGTAAAACACAACAGAACTGTGTATGTTTGTGTTTGGGTCACTAAGTCCAAGTCTGTCCGAGGCTTTGTGAAATCCTCATTGATCCTAATGATAGCTCTGTCTCCTGCCACAGAGTGTACTTTGTTAAGGAAGGTGCCTACTGAACAGGACAGTATTTTACTTTTTAATTTTAGCCAAACCCCCTATCCACGGACTATGTACTTTTTCATTTAACATAAAAATTTTCTCTTTAGGGTATTATTTTAACAGCTGTGATGTTAACTGTTTCGTTTTGCCAGAGTTTAGTCCCCCTCCCCCCAATGGCTCCCCCATCCTGGGAACAGGAAGGCCAGCACCTCTCGTGGGCTTGTGCCCCTCACCTGTAGCAATTCCGTCAAAGAGAGACAGCACCCGGATAGGCTTCCTCTTCTCGGCTGGGACAGGTGGATAAACCTTCGGAGGGTCCTAAGCAGTGAGCATGACATGACAGGTCAGGTAAATGCCCAGTGGTGTCCCACAGACCCCCCAACCAGGGCTGGCCCTCCAGCCAGACTCCTTAGACCTGCACAAACCACCACCAAGTCTCAGCAAAGATAGCTCAAGACCTTGCTCCAAGCCCAGCACTCACAAATTCCTGGTCGTGGTTATTGGCGAAGAACATCTGGAGCCTAGAGGGCCAGTCGTCCCGCCGCCGCAGCAGCCCATAGGTACCCTTGTGCCCACACATGTAGCAATTCCAGGGGTCTTCCTTAATGGCCGCCTGGGCAGCCCCCGGCCCCACCAAGAGGTCCACACACTCCACGCAAAAGCACCTAGAAGGAAGCCCAGTGAGCAGAGGGGACTCCCAGCCCCAATCCAGGACTGCCAAGGCGTGCCACCTGGAACAGAAGCACCCAGTCCAGAGCATGGCTGGAGGGGCGTGGTGGGCAGGCAGCGAGAGCCCAGGTCCTGGCCAAGGAGGGAGGGCCAGCTTTGATCAGGGGTAGCAACCCTCACCTGCAGCAGTTGTTGTTCCCGCACATGAGCACCTCACGCCCCCCACAGCAGATGGTGCAGTAGGACTGATAGCCATCGTCATCATACTGGTATGCACACTCCAGGAAGCAGTTCTAGAGAGCAGCGGAGAAGGTTAGAAACCACCAGGGCAGGACAGCAGGCTCCAAACCTGGCCTCTTGGAGCCTCGACTCAGCCCTGCAGACATCATCCCACCACCCACCCAGCCTGGGTCAGGCACGAACCACAGATCTGGGATGTGGAAACCATGTGTCCCCCCCAACAGTGGATAAAACCAAAGAGGGGCCTGAGAGCAGGCCAGAGAGGGAGGTGCACACCACCTTCTTCCTGCCTGCAGGCCTGAAGCTTTTCTCCTGGGACTCTCAAGGATATGGCAACCCAGCTCCCACCCCCTTCATCCTAGTGACTGTGACACTGTGAGTCCTGCCCACATCTGGGGACTAAAATGGGGCAGTCCCCATTCTAGACAGGGAAAGAATCTTTCAGGGAGAAAAACAGAAGTAACTCAAAAGCTTGAAACCCAAGGACCCACGAGGATCCTCTGCTTCCAGAGTAAATCTTAGGGTCTCTGTCACACCCGCCCAGGTGCCTTCCCCCTACATGCCCACAAAGGCAGGAGGTGCAGTCAGCCAAGGGCTGCCTTAAACTACACCCCGCGGGGCGGCTGTGCCCCTACCTTGCAGTTTTGGCACATTCCTCCAATGAAGAGAGGGTGTTCCAGGGTGACGTTGAGGCTCCCACAAGAAATGCAAATATCTGGAGAACAGAGTGAGCAGAGTTAAGAACCACCAAGAGCTCCTCCCACCCAGGCCAGAGCCCAGCCCCAGACAGCTACAAAAAAGGAGTGTGCTGGAGCAGCCAGAAAAGGAGGCTGAGAGGAGTCTTCCCCACAGAAAAGGGAGGCACAGTGTCCCAAGCCTCAGGAGGCCATTCGTTTCTTAGAGCAGGGGACAGAAACCCACTCGTGAGAACCAGGCCTTGGCTCGGGTCACTCCAGAGGTATTCCTGGAGCAGTCTTCAAGTCCTGGCCCCTGCCCCAACCCTGCGGGGCCCCAAGCCACATACACCACCGCCAGGCCAAGGGAGACAGAAGTAGGATATCACAAAGGGAGGAAAGATGAGAAGCCAAAAGGTTATCTTAAGGCAAGTTCAACCAAATCCAAGAAGGTTCACCCTCCTTTAACCCATTGGGGTGTCCCAAACCCTAAAGACCAGCCGATGCCATTGACCAGGAGGCAAAACCATAGCACCAGGAAGACACGTGGTGCGTGAAGCAGGCTAGAGGAGGTGGGACCTGCAGGACAGGCCCTGTCACCGAGTAACGTCACAGGGCTCTTCCTAAGCATGTGCTGCTCCGTGCCTGGCACCACGCTGGGAGCACCCCAACGCCCAGGCCGCGCACTCACCTTCAATATTCCGGCACTTCTGCCGCACCTCGTACACCAGCCGCTCTGCAGAGGGGAGGGAAGCCAGCATCAGAGGAGGCCGCCAGGGCCACACCCGCTCCTCGGAATGCCGGCCTCCTGGCGCCACTCTCTCCAGAAACAGGCCAACTACCTCTTGTGCGTTCATCGATAATCTCCTTGACCTTGGGCTTCTCTGTTGTGCTCTTTCGGGGCTTTTTGGCTGGTGGGGGTGGTGCATAGGCAGCTGCCTCAGGTTCAACCCACATGTCTGTGTAAACTTCTTTGTAGGGATTCTTTTCCTCTGATCAGGAAAGTAGGTGACAAGGTCACAGATACAGGATGACAGGGAGTCCCAGTTCTCTCCCTCCCCCTCCTATACCCACAGTGGGGTGCAGCTGGGTCCCCAATTTGTCCCACCTCCCAGGTTCCAGCAAGACAACGGAGAGCGCATTACCCTGGAGCCCCGGTGCAGCCCTGGCCAACACTGGCCATTCCCACTGGGCTTCTGGGCAGAGGCCTCAGCAGCTCTCCCTAAGCATGGCTTTCCCAGCCCTGGTGTGGGTCTCCCTGGTGGGCAGGACTCCCAGAAAGCTGCGCAGGGCACCTGCATTTACCTTCTGGTGGCTCCAGGCCCTTGGGGCCGGAGGGCTGGAACCCCCCAAGGGCCCATTCAATCATTTGCTTGTTCTGCACCTCCACGGCCTTGGCAGTGTCACTCTCGTCGCTGTCATGGCACGCTGGGAACAGCTTCCCGGAGCGGCTGCTGGCCACCTGGAGGGCAACATGTGGGGATGGGGTGTGTATTGGACTTGAGGGTACCAAGAGTGGGGAGAAGAACCACCGAGGAGGAAGAGTGTAGAGAGGGGTGAGCGAGGTGGGGAAGCTGGGGAGAAAAGGAGGCTCTGCCCGGGCCTGACCAGCACAGTCGGCTTCCAGGCCTCCTAGTGCCGTGTAAGCTCCTCCTCCGGGCTCCATGGAGGGACACTCACCTGCAGGACTTCGTAGATGGCTTTGCGGTACATGGGCTGCTTGTTGTAGGTGGCCTGGTGGAACGCGCTGCAAAACGAGCTCAGTGGCATCAGCTTCTCCACACACACCTGGAGGGATGAGCACGGCCCCTGGTTTGCTGCTCCCCACGCTCGAGCACCCACCGCGTGCCTCTCAAGTGCCAGGGTCAGGGGCATTAAAGTCAGCCTCAGCCCTTAAGAGGGCCAGGTGCACTGTCAGATAACTACCCGATACAAAAGGGGAGTCTGGACCAAGAGTGGGGAGGACTTGAATGCAGGTGGGAAACGGATTCTAGTGAAAAGCTTCCTGACTGCTAAAACCAGGCGGGCGGACTCTGAGCCAGAGTGCAACTTAATTATCTCCCAGGCTTCTTCCCACATGCAGAGTGGGAGTGTGCAGAGCCCACTCCTCCCACCCCAATTCCAGACTGCCCCTGCTAAGACCACAGGCCGTAGGATCCAGACCTTGTCCTCCCCTAGGCTACTGCTAAACCCCATGACTCACCACTGAGAACTTGCCGTCTCCGAACCACATGACCCAGCGGGTGCCTTCAGCTGCTCGGCTCCGGCCCGTCATCCACCAAGACACAATGCGGCCTGGCCACCAGGAGAAGCCCCGCAGTTTCCCCCACACCAGCTCCCCAATGCCAAAGCCCCGGCCGTCCTGGAGCCCCAAGGAGCAGAAATCATTACACAGTGGTCACGAGGCCCTGCCACCCTGATCCCCCCATGGCAACCCCAGCCCTGGGCATCCGGGGGCAGGCCAGCCAGGAGGGAGCTCCATCTGAACGAAGCGAGACAGAGCAAAACGGGGGGACACAGAGGCCTGGGGTCAGGTGGAGACAGTGAGCGGCCAGTGAGAGATGGAGTGAGCAGAGCAGGACGGGAGGGGCTGGCATGTGAAGCCCCGGACAAGGCTGGTGAGAAGCAAGCCGCTCACCTCGTACTCCGGTTCGTCATCGGCTGCTTTGGTGGCATTCTTGTCGCCGGCATCAGCCCCCACGGGTTCAGGCGTGGTGGCCACCGTGGGGGACGCGGGGTCAGTGGGCTGCTGCACAGCGGGAGGGCTGGCCTCCTCCACCTTCTGAGACTCCCCAGACCCCTGGTTCTCTTCCACAGCATTCATTACTGCAATTACCTTGGCTTTCTTCTCAGCCTGGGGAAACAAAGAGTGAGAAGTCACCTTGACCGTCCAGCAGTTGGCAAGGCCACCTGACACTCAAGGGGCTCTTCTCAACCCGGCTGTGTTGGTCTGGGACAGTGACGGAAGGTAAGGGCTGGACACAGGAGTTCTTCCTCATTGCCCCAGCTGGCTCACCACAGAAAACGGAAAGACGCAAGTTGGGAGATGAACTCAAATCACTCAACTCCGGCCTTCTTTTCTGCCTCTAAGAAACCTTCCTCCCCAGTCTGATCTGGCTCACCCTCATCAGCATATCAGTATCAGTTGTATTGACACACCCATCAGGCACCTTTGTTAGGCACAGATACTGGCTCCACCCTCTCCTATCTTACATTCCCAACCAAGAAATGGGATCATCTCTTTTCCTCCACAATTTCTCTGAACAATCAATAGCTTCCATTCCTGGTTTCCAGACCGGGACTCTAGTTTTGCGATGTCCACTGATGATGAAATCACTGCTCTGGGTTTAAAGAGCACATCTCCCCCAGCACCTGCCCAAACACCACAGAAAGTTCTCTAAGCGCCTGCCTGTTCCCACACTCACAGGCCGTCCTCAAGTTCTGGTGGATTAACCCAGTGTACACTGTTACCAAATTCTACCCCCTCTATGCACCTTTCAGACCCATAGATATGTTTATTCCTTCAATTATGTACTGAGCAGGCACTACAGACCAGGCACTCTCTCTGCCATCCCACCAACAAATTAATAATCCAAACCCCGGTTATTCTCCCACTGAACAGCCTCCATCCTTTCACCACATCACACTCATCTTTCAGGCTAGGAGCCACATGCCCATTGCTTCTCGAAACCTGCTTCAGGATCCCTAAAAGAAGAATGGAATCCTTGATACTTAGCTCTGAGAACCATTCACCCCCTTACTGCATTTAGGAAACACAGCCTTCTAACTTCAAGGCTCTGCACCCATTTCCACCATACCAGATTCAAAGCGGGGAAAAAACCCCATATTTTATTAATACATGCTTTTCAACACAAAGCTTTCTGCAACAGCCCAGAGCTGTGAATGCAAACCCATCCCCAAGATTAAAAAAGTATCAGGAATGAGTATGGGGAAGAGCTCTAATCTGGAAGTCAGAGTATCTACCCTTCTGTCTTAGCCTTGCAACAAACTGGCAGCTGACTTCGCAGTAGTCCCTTCTCTCCAGAGCTGACCCAACCTACAAACGCATTTGGACTGAAGAATTTCTAGTAACCTTTTCAGACCTATTTTAAGAATCTGATGCACATATCAAGGATTCCAAGGACTCTCCCAAAGCCCATCAATGGATCCTCCCCAGATCCGAGGCTCCCAAATTACTGTCGCGTAGATTCATTTCATTCAATCTTCAAGTCTTTGCCTCCCAGATACAGACCAAATCTGTTTCTTACGGCAATTCCGAAAACATTGGATGTTAGTCCTCGTTCTTTCTCTGACTCAACAAATTCTAAAATGGAATAAGGCATCCTTTGCCCCCAGCCCACAAACAGCTGGGAAAATGAGCTCATGGATGACGGATGGCGGGGGTGGAAGAATGCAGAGTAATTGCTCAGCCCTCCTTAGTGCACTCTCACCTGGCGCGGACGCTGCCCTCCCCGTCCTATCTTCAATTAGCCATCATCTCCTCACCCACAAGAGGATGCAGTGGGATCTACAGGGAAGGGGTTTCCTTCTCCTGGAGGCCACCTCCTACCCTGGGACCTGGGCCACACTGGTCACACTCACAGACAAACTCGCGCCTAGCTATTGCTCCCTCTCCACCACACCTTCCCAAACTTCAGGCATGATGGCTGACCCAGGTTAGGGTGCTGCCTGGGATGATCCAAAGGCCCTGTTTCCAGGCATGATGATGGCCCCTCAGCCACCACAAAGGTGCGCAGGTGGCAGAGGACAGGAAGGGGAAAGGACCCGCCATCACTTCCACAGCAAGTGGCAGCGGGTGGGCGCGCGCTCCTCCCCGGGCTCCCCAGGTCTAGAAGGGAGTCAGAAGGGAGTCGTGCCTGACACCACCACCGTCACTCCCCCACAGCCCCTTTGTCTCTCTCCTCAACCCCTCCACAGCGAGTTCCTGAACATTCTTCTTCCCCCACAACTTCCCCCAGCCTGTCAGATGCTGCTGCTGATAGCTGTTCAGCATCCCCAACCCACTTGGTGCAGAACACGCACCCAGCACAGTTTGGGCTGGCGGAGGAGGAAGGGGCCTGCACCAGGACGAGGGTGGGGGAAGGAAGGAGGAGGTGGGTTAGCAGCAGGAGGCCAAAGGAAAGGGGAAGAAGGGGCAGAGGCGAGGCTGATGGGGGAGGGGCTCATTAGAATAGTCTGCCTGGGGCAGTTCAGGAAAGCATCCTCCTTTCCACATTCTCTCCTGCCCTCCTGCCCAGGCAAACAATAGGAGAGAGAGAGGGTTAGCGCAGGGCTCTCCCATTTGGGCTGATGGCTCCTCACCCACAGAGGGGCCAAGAGATTGAGCAGGGTCCAAGAGGGGCACTACACCATTCCTCAGAAGCCACCTGGCCCAGAGTTTGGCCAGCCTGGGAAAGCCACTGGTAACTCCACTGACTACTACTGTCCATCCTCCAATTCCATCTCCTCCTGCAGCTGTCCCGCCTCCACCTCCCGCGGCGACTCAGCACTTCCCATTCCAAAGGTCAGAAGTCTGAGCGCCACCGACCCCAAGGCCACGCGGCCTTAGGCTATCCTGGTGTCACAGGCCAGCATCAGCCTGGTCCCCCACAACCCCCTGTCAGGGTCACCCTGCTTCCTCCCATCCTCCCATCTTTCTGGCTGCCTGCCGGGTGGCTTCCAGGAACTTGCAGCGGAGGAAGCTGTCCCTCTCAGGAGGCTGCAAGCTGGCAGGGTCCTGAGGACAGCCTGGTCTCCTAGCCAGGAATACAGGTCAACCAGGAAATGCCAGGCACCCATCTGCTCAGCTAAAGCAGCTTCCAAACCAACTCGTGGTCCACCAGCCCCGCTCAGCCAGCGCCTGCAGTTACCACTGCCCAGGCTCCCCAGCTGCTCCTCCTGTCCCCTAGGAGCACCAGGTGCCACTTGATACCAGTGAGGAGTGGGGCTTGGGGTCCCTGAGCAGAGAGTAGGTGGGCCAGCACTAAGTCAGCATCTCCAGCACTCAGGCCAGCCAGGGACGCCTCAGCTCCTGCGGGCCGGGGAGGCATACTTGACTCTTTTCAAACTGAGGGCTGCGGAGATCCTCCCCTCGGCCCTGCAGCCTCCCCGCCCCCAGTCTCCCCAGGGCTCCGTCCAGGAACCTACCCATAAGGCCAGGTGCAGCCCCTCTGCGGTCCAGCTCAGGTGTGAGCCCCAGCCCTGAAGCTCTGTAAGTAGCTGCCCGTCTGGGGGGAGGGGAAGGGGGCGATGGGGCTGGGGGCGGAGGGGGCCAGAGAGAGGGGAGGGGGGCGGTGGGGGGGAGGGAGGGAACATTTTCTTTGTCTAGAACTCCAGGTCACGTGGGCCCCGCTGGAGTGCCTGGTTGGCTGCGGGCGGGCCGGGGGAGGGGGCCGGCGCTCCGACGCTGGCGGTGGGCCAGCCCCTCTCCTCCGGTCCGAGGGGCGCGGGGGCCGGGGGCGCGGCCGGCCCCCGCCCGTCCCCAGGGCCCGCCCAGGCCCGGCAGGAGGCAGCGCCCCCGCCCCCCGGGAAGGGCCTGCCCTGCCCCCTCCACCCCAACTCTGGAAGAGATTAGCGCGGAGCCGGGGGGCGCGGCCGGAGCCGCGGGGAGCCGCGGGGGAGAGGAGGGCCGCAGGGAGGGCAGGGCGGCTCTCCGCTGCGAGCCCTGAGGGAGCCGCGCGTCCGGGCGAGGGAGAGCGGAGTTTTCCGACGGACCGGGAGAGCAGGAGAAAGTTGTTAAAAGTGAGTTTCTCAGAAGCACAACCAAAAAAAAAAAAAGCTTACAGATAAGAGGCAAGGCCCAGGAAGTTGTAGGAAAACTCAGCGAATACGGACCGAGCGTGACAGGGCACCCGCACAGAAACTGGGAGGCCTGGGACGCGGGGGCGTCCCGCCCCCACACTACAGGTGGATGGAGGGTGCCTTAAAAAGCTTGGCTAGAGGAGTTGACGCTTTGAAAGCTGCTTCCCGGCCCTGCACCCCAGGCCCCTACGTCACTCTGGGTCTTCCCTCGACTTCTCACTCTGGGTCTTCCCTCGACTTCTCGTTTTACAGTTTGCAAGGGGTGGGGGAGTGAGGGGGGCGGGAGCGGGGGCGCCTTTTCTAAAGTACAGCAATTCCTTCATTCCCAGGCACGAACATCTGCAGATCAAGGAGACTTTACTCTCTTCCCGGGGCCTCCAGGTGCGGCTTCCAGGTGCAGCCTTCCGAGCAGAGGCACCTCCCCTCAAGGCGGACAGTCTCCACCCACAGCCCTCCATTAGGTTGGGTGTAGCATCAGATAAAGAAGCCGACCCTGTTGCCCTGCCCTCAAGGAGTTAAAGATTCCATTGGACTTGGAGAGATATGAAAGGATCACTGAAAAACAAACATGTGAAGATAACCACCGCCACAAATACCAAGGAAAGCTGGCCTGGATGGCTTGGAAGACAACAAAAAATGGTATGAAAGATAAAAGAGGTTAGAGGTGAGTTGGAGGTGAGCAGAGACTGGGCTGCTGATGGGTGGGTAAGAGCTGCCAGGGTGGAAAGGGAGGGACTGCTCACCCAGTACAGCCACTCAGTACACTAAAGCTAAAGGGCACAGAAAGCTGGATTATGGCAAGATTTCAGCTGTGTCAATGGAGGACATATCCCATAGCAGTGAAGAATACCTGCACATTTTCTGACAAGACAAGATGAATGGGTATCTTAGAAAGATTAGGCTAGTTTCAGTTTGCCTGATTAATGAGAAGGAAGAGCAGAGGAACTCTCAGCAACAGAGGGCTGTTTGGCTTGTCAGAAGATCTGAACTTGAGTTCTGATTCCACCACCATGACTTTGAACAAACCACTTAATTAAACCCAAGAAGTCTGTTTTCTCATCTGCAAAATAGGAGTGATGACATCAGCCCTCCCAGGCCTTGGAATACCAGCATCTCCTAAGGACAGTGAGGTAACTCCCCAGGTGCCTGGCTCCCAGCCATAGCCAGCTGGGACATACCAGCTGGAACAGGTGCTGGTATAATGAGGTCAAGAGATGCTGAGGTGAAGGACAGCCCACCATCCCTCTTGGGGCCATCAAAGCAAGCAAACCCTGAAGAGGAAGGAGGCCTCCACATCAGCCTTCTACCTATAAAACGTGGGGGTATACATTTCCCCCTAGCCCTGACTAAGACCCAGAATCCATACAGCTAGGAAAAGGAGCCATTAGTCCAAAAAAAAAAAAAAAACAAGAGGTCTTCTGCTCTAACCCATCTCTCAACCCAATTAAGGTATCCACTTGGTGAAGCAGAGATGAGAAGCCCTGAATTTATGCCTCCTGCCTGCTCCCAGCCTTTAAGGAATGTAACAGGACTTGTTTAGTTGCTTCTCTCTGAAGCAACTGATCTTTCCTCAGCATCCAGGCCTGGGGAATGGGCCACATGAGACCTCACCGCAGGCCTCCCCTCAAAAGGAAGCTTCTGATTCTGGCTTGGCAGCTCCTTTCAGATACTCTGGCTCATCTATGACATCTCCTTTTCCAACACAATATGACTGAGCACCTCAGACTCTACCCTCTGTGGTCTTGGGACTTCTTCAGACTGTAACAGTGCCTGCACATATGGCCAGGGCTCCAAGTGTCAGAACTGGCCAGAACCATTCACTTTCTGGCCCACAATACAGTAGCCTCCTCCCTCCAGCTGTCAAACTTCCTTGTTCTCATCCTTTAGAGTCAAATCTTACCTCTTCCACACAACTTCCCAGCCTAAGCAAAGGAAGCCTAGTCTCAAAGGTGTCCCCTCACCAACCTAGGGCATCTTCCCTCTCCAATAACTATGCAAACAGGAACCATTACCCTTTTACAGACAATGAGGCACTAAAACAGAGATGTGTCTTCTTTATGGTCAGTGAGACCGCAAAGTAAAAGAGACCCCAAGATCTAGGACAGAGGTGATTTTAATAAAAGGTCAGGGGGGAAAAACAGGGCAGCTTTCAAGGATCCTCAGGTCACATACGCCCTTGACCTTCTAAAGTAACCCTCCCCGTGTAGTTGCTAGGATAGGTCTTTTTACTGAGATAAAGATAGCCAGCCTCAAACAGCAGTGTCATGTAAAATAAGCCATGTTCTTGGAATTGTTATAAAAGTATGTTGAAAGGAGGAACTCCTGGATGAAAGGAAGATATGGTGGATGTCAAGAGCCTAAAAGAGATGCTGGAGAGGAAGTGTCTCGCATGGTCCAGCAGAGAGGGTGACCTGAGAGAGAGGGCACAGTTCCTGTTTGGCAGGCAGACAAGAGTGATCCAATAGGCCGCCAAAGCCTGATGAAAATACCTCTTAAGGACACCTGACTCTCTCGGCCCTGATCCTGTATTCATCAAGCAAACTTCTAATTTTAATTACATTTTCCAATGACTCTGATACCAGCAAGTTGCCAGAAAACAGCAGGACAAGTATTATGATCTCTGTGGCAAGGACACATCCTGTTATAAATTGGTAAATTTAACATTCTGGTGTGCACCGCTTTCCTGGGTCTTTGAAGAACAGGATCCTAAGTGTGTTACTTTGACTTTCCAGCCTCACAGAAGTGAGATGAGACACGAGGCCATGAATCCCCACCAAAGAGCAGAAACACCAGGAGGGCCGGGTGGGAAGGTCCACTCCTGCCTGACTGGTTTTAACTCAAAGTTCAGCACTCCGTGGCATGCTTTGTCATAAAATCCAGTCCTGGCAGGATGAGGGCAGGTTATGTTGCTGCCATCACACAGGACATTCATCACCTGAATTCCCTTTACTCAATGTCAGCCATGACCTCTGTAAAGCCATCTGCAAAGCAACACATGTGAAGTCACTGCATATTTTCTGCCACACACGTATTTTCACCAGCCCCAGGACCAGGGAAACCTATCCAGACAAAAGGCCGTGAGATCAGGACAAATGTCTGTTCTGAACCTGTCCTCCTGCTTACAGCTCAGAAGCCTCAATGCCAAGCAGTCAATACTCTGCATGACATTCAAAGCCCCCACGAATCTGGAGGCCTCCGTTTTATATCACAAAGCCCACTCTGCCCACCCACCTGGTATTCCTCACGCCTGCCTTCTTCCTGGAATGCCTCTCAACCTCTACCAGCCAAAATCCTGCCCATCCTCCTACGCCAGTTACCTCAAATTGCCTCCACCATGAAAGTTTCTGTAGCCCTGCACTGTCCGGTAAGGGAGCTACTAGCTGCAAATGGCTATTTAAATTAGTTAAAATTAAATACAAATGGAAATTCAGTTCCTCAGTCACACTAGCCACATGTGGCTGGAAGCTACTCTACTGGATGGCAGAGATTTTAGAACCTTTCTATCATCACAGAAAGTGCTTTAGGACAGTGCCACTCTGGCGCCTCACCCTTATCTTGCCCCACTGTCCCTTATCTTCCCTGCACTTTGTAAGCCTCTCTTAGAACCTGCCAGTCTGTGCTCTGCCTTGTACAAAGGTGACTGTGTACTCATCTTTCTCCTCCACAGATTAAAAATTCCTAGAGGGCAGGGACTGGATCTTATTCAGCTTCATATGGAAGCGGTGTGGGCTGGAGCACCTCACACATAATAGGGGATTAAAACAGTGTTTGTTGAACTGAATGCAACAGTGTCTCAGATGCCTCATCCCTAATCCACCGCTCAAGTTCCAAATTGGGGGATAGGTCCTTTTCATAGCAGAAATCCTAATAATTGCTAAGAGGTCCCAGTCTAGGGCTCCCAAAAGGAATCTTTGTTTTCCTATTCCCCTGAAATCCATATGGAGGTTGCAAGCAAATGACCAGGGCTCAGTTGCTGGCAGTGAAGCTAAAAATAGCCACGGAGCCAACAGCATGGAGTTAGCAGGACTTGTTGCTAAGGAGACCAGTTGCAGAGAGAGCAACTAAGCAGGGAGAAGGTGTCAGATGTGTACCCGAGAGCAGAGGCCATGTTGAGAGGACTCTAGGTTGACAGGGGTCCAAGGCTCCCACCTGGTGATGGGCTTCTGCCTTCTAGCAGCTCCTGGCTAATGCTCTAAGTGGGGCACATGTTCCCCCATCCCTCAGTAACCCATCTCCATGGAAACCACCAGGACTGGGGTGAAGTACCAGCCCCTAGAAGGGAGGCCTCTGCCAGGAGCTGGTTGTTATGGCAACATCCCCCCTTCCTGTCATTCTCTGTCTCCTGGCTTCTCTTGAGAGGGAAAGACGAGGGCCTGGTCTTGGCTTAGCCAGCATGACCAGGAAGCAAGCACCTGCTTTCTGACAAGACTAACCTGTAGGAGTTCTCTAGAAGCCCCTGAGAACGCAGAAGGGCCAAGCAGTCCTCAGCACAGGGCAGAGCTTCCTTTTCTTTCCATGAGGGCCCTAGAGATCATCTTGCCAGGAGAATCCCAAACTCACTTGGGTTTAATTGCATCAGGATTACCCAAGGAGGATTTTAAAAATACAGACTGTTGGGCTCTACCTCTGTAGATCAGCAGACTTAGGGTGGCGCCGAGGAATCTATTAAAACCTCCCTAGGTAATTCAGATACTAAGCAGGTGTGGAAACCACTGACAGCCCTGGCTGTCTCTATTACAAATGAGAAAACTGAGTCCTCGAGAGGACTGAGCCCACCTGAGGGGTCAGAGTCATTAACTGAAGAGGAAGTGGTCTGGGGACAGGTGAGGCAGGCAGTAGGAGAGGGAGGTGCACACCCTCCTGCACACATCCCAGGTGAGCCTCTCACCTGTGCCTTGCCCTCCTGTTCCCCTTTCAAGCCAGATCATGCTGTTGTCTGACACCAGATTGTGATATAAAGCTGAAGCTCTCCACAAGCTGCCCTCTGTGGCAGAACGTGGAAGGTAGGGGCCAGGAGTCTGGTTCCCAGAGCCTACAGAATGGTGGTAGCCCAGGCAGATGATTCGGGCTGAAAGAGAAATCCATCCTCCTCAAGAAAAGCAAAAGGGTCACCATGGCAACTGCAGCGGGCTGGCCTGGTTGGGCTCTATGCCACCACCCCAAACCTGGGCCCTGTAGCAGAACCTCCTCCCTGAGTCTGGGGAGAGGAGAAGCATTTGGGCAAATGCCATGGGTCTAGTTTTAGGACCCATAAGGAAGCTGTGCTGTTGCCTGGAGCCAGCCTCTCAGCCAGCCTGAGGCACACCCGAACACGGGGCCAGCGGGCTCATGAATCCTGAGCGCCTACAGCAGGTAGGCTGGTGGAAGCAATGGTCTCCACGCTTCTGCTACAGCCTAATTATGTACCCAAGACCCACCACACATGAAACCACAGTCCTCATTCAAGACAGCATGCAATTAGATGGTAAATTATGTGGCAAAGATGCTTTCTACATGTGCTGAAGGACATCTAAGGAGACTGAGATCGGGAGAGGCGGGAAGACTCAAGGGAAGATGAGAGTGGGTGAAGTTGGAATGGGCACAACCTCCCAGGTTCTCCCCTCCCAGGACAGATTTTGGAGGGAATCTGCAATTGCATTAGGTCCCTGGCAGATGAAGGACAGGAATAGAAAACACAAGCACTGCCTTATGCATATCTGTTAGGGAGGGGAGCGTGAGAGGGGGCTGTCGTGCTGATACACTCACATTAGATAAATTCATCTGAATACTGAATTTCTGGTCAAGAGAGCAAAACGCAGGGTGGGGGAGCCCATCTCTTCAAAAGCCTCTTCTTGTAATCCCTGATATATGTCCCAAGCAGGCCTCATCCCACCTGGCGCCCTATTCTCTCCCAGGGAGCCCTGTTCTTCCTCAGTGGTATATGCTGGGCAGCCGCGACTCAGCCAATCTGCCATGAGGCTTCTGCAGCTTCAGCGGCTGCTGCTTCCTCACTGCGCCCCCGTGCCTTCTCTTCCCTACAGCTCCGGGGCTGCTCCGTGCAGGGAGGGGCTGCTCCACAGACACAACTCTTCCTTCCTGGTCGCTTTCATCCCCTAACCTGGAACTGAGGGGTCTGCACAGCTCCACATGCAAGTGAGTCTGGGGGCCGGGTAGGCAGGGCAGAGGCAGAGATGCCATGGCAGGGGTAGGGGGTGGCAGTGCCACGTGACCTGACCCCAGGCCTCACTTGCCCCTTACCAGGAGATCTAACTGGTAGGGTTGTGGGGTTTTGGGCTGAGCACGGCCTCATAGCTGCTGACAAGACCTTAAATAACCACCTAGTTTCTTTGGATATTGGTTTCCTAACCAGCCTCATGGCACCACAAATATCTGCTAAATATTACAGGTAAGATCAAAGGAAGTCAGGAGGGGCTGACCTATGAGACGTAGAAGGAATCTCATGACAAGTTTGCTTTAGGGCATGTCGATGTTGTCACTTTGCTTTAGAAACTGGACAGAAATGTTAATTTTTTTTTTTTTTGAGACAGAGTCTCACTCTGTTGCCCTGGCTAGAGTGCCGTGGTGCCAGCCTAGCTCACAGCAACCTCCAACTCCTGGGCTCAGGTGATCCTCCTGCTTCAGCCTCCCGAGTAGCTGGAACTACAGGCATGCACCACCATGCCCGGCTAATTTTTTCTATATATATTAGTTGGCCAATTAATTTCTTTCTATTTATAGTAGAGACAGGGTCTCGCTCTTGCTCAGGCTGGTTTCGAACTCCTGAGCTCGAGCAATCCACCCGCTTTGGCCTCCCAGAGTGCTAGGATTACAGGCGTGAGCCACCTCGCCCAGCCTGGAAATGTTAATTTTATACTAAGGTGGGTATGGGCTGAAAGGAACCTGTTAACCTTAACAGCCAGGCCTGTTTTCCCCACCCTTCCCCAGGCTCCAGGGGTCAGAGGGAGGGGCCTAAGGCACCAGCATTCAGATTCAGGCCTGCAGACCCTCTCAAATTTCAGGGTCCAAAGGGGAGACTCAGGAGGAGCCTAGTAGACCCGCATAGAGCATAGCAGGTAACGATTGCTGAACACAGCGGGAATCCTTCCATCTCCATCCAAAAGGAAAAATTTAAATTCCTGTACCAAGGCCTTTCCGGTCTCCTCCCCCTACGGGCACCCTGTTTGGAAATTGTCCCTAGGTCTGCCCGCCTTAGAGCCCAGACTTCTTCCTCAGCTCGTCATTCTAGTGGCCACCTGGGCTGTACGTCAGAATTACCCGGAAAGCTTTGGAAACAACACGTGCCAGGGCCATCACTAAATTCCTGAAGTGATTACTCTGGCCCAGGCAGTGGTATTTAAACAAACAAAACTCCCTGGTAACTGTAATGTGCAGTGAGATCCCCCCACCCCCCAGTAGGTGATAAACTAGATAAATCTGCCAGTACATCGGTCTGGAATCCCTTCTGGGCCAAATTTGCTTTACTTCTAATGGTCTGAAGCTTGGAGGTTCTCACACTTTAGGAAGCCCCAGAATCATGCAGGGTATGGCCAGAAAGTCAGATTCACAGGTGCCACCCCAGAGACTCTGCTTCAGTAGGTTCAGAATGGACAGGACCCAGGAATGTGCCTGTTTCATGCATTGCCCAGGCAGTGCTGCTAGGGTAACACGCAACCACCCTTTAAGAAACACTGAATTCTAATGGTGTTTTTGGTATGTATAAAACAAGTTTGATTCAATTTTTATTTTTTGCCCAACAAAGCTGCTTTTCAGCTTGCATCTGGAGTCAAATACTCAGATAGCACCTAGAGTCAAATACACGGGAGACAGAGCTGTTATTCCTTTTTTTGTACGATCCATCTGAGTTGGAAGTGAAGATAATATTTATGCTGCCTGCCATTCACTGACTAAAGAGGAACAGGGGAAGAGTCAGATGGCATCTGGGAAGAGTTGCTATTGAAGAATGGCAAGTCAGAAACATGGTAAAATTCACTTGCACACGCACATGCACGCCCCATGCGCTGGCACGGGAGGGAGTGCAAATTGAGGGGTGAGGGGTGGCCTCAGGGACTTGATGGAGATTGAAAAGGGCTCCACAGATAGGTGAGGAGGGGCTCAGTAGTTCTCTAATTGGTTCAAGACATCCTTACAGATGCTGGCCACCTGCTCCCAAAGCTCCGTGTCCCTGCCTCTCCTGTCCTGGTCCTCTCCACGTGGGGCTGCTTTCTGTGCTCTGGGCTCTTCTCTCCCTGCCCTGCTGCTGGCAAGTCCCCTTCCACGTGGAGGACTCTCCAGTCGGAGTCCAGACCTACCTTTGGAGCTGCCCACTAAACTCTCCCCAACCTGCCAGCTTCTCAAAAGCAGCTTGTCTAAAATCCCTTCTAAAAAATACCTTCATGACCTTGGGGTAGGCTGAAAATTCTTAGAGATCATACACACACTAATAAAAGAAAAAAAAGGATAAATTGGACTTTATTAAAATTAAAAACTTCTACTTATCAAAATACAGCCTTAAGAAAACAAAAAGTTCACCTTCACCTGCCCCAAACCTGCTCTCCCTCCAGGATTCCCTGTCTTGGATAATGACGCCTCCCAGTCCAGCCCCCAGTACCCAGCAGGTTTCTCCCTTCCCTGCAGCCAGGACCAGTCCTAGCATCTTTTTCAAGTCTGCCTCCCATTACCTTGACCCCCCCAGTCAAGGTCAAATGTAATGCCTACCTGGTCCTGCTTTTAAACTTCCCCTCTGGGCAGCTTACAATGCTGCCAGGATTGTAAAATGCATGTCCAATTCTCTCATACCTCTGTTCCCCACTGCAGAATGAGCCTAAATTTCTCGCTATTGATCATCTGACCATTCCTTTCTAGTTTTATCTCTTCTTGCACATCCTCCCCAAAGCCCCTGCACCCTGGTTACCAGATCTCTTGCTGTTTCCTAGGAAACCCAGAAGCATCATGCCTCCTTTTCTTTGCCCTCAGTAGTTCCTCTTCCTGAAAGGCCTCCTCTTTCACACTTACTGATATTCCTAAAGGATGTCACCTCCTCCGGGAGGCTTCCCCAGAGCCCCCAGAAGCAGCTCTCATCCTCCTCTATGCTTTGTGTTTTGCTTTAGGTACCAGGAGAACAGAGCAAGCCCCCTGCTCTGCCTGCCCCTGGGGCTTGTGAACATCTGGCCTCCTCCACTAGGCAATGTGTGCCTCTGGACAGGCCCTGTGTCCAACTGGCCTCCCCGCCCCCACCCCAGCACAGTGTCCAGTGTATTCAATAAGTACTGAATTACTAAGTAATAAGTAGTAAGTACTGAGGTCTGGTCCATTAACTCCTTCAACTAATGCATTGGCTCCTGAAAAGAGCCACAGAGAGTCCAGCAAACTACCCCAAGCGTGAACATCCCTGAGGCCTCCCTGACAAGTGGCCCAGTCTTTCAAGCAGACAGAACATTAATCATTATGTCTTCTCCTTTGCTAGCCCCATAGAAAGTGCTAGGGGAATGCCTCTAAAAGTTGACCCAAATATGCAAGAAATCTTGAGGAGCCCTAGACTCCAAACTCCTAGAGGATACTTTGCCCACCTACCAATCCATGCCCTCCCCCGACTATTCCTGTCAGGCAAACTCCTGTTCCAGCCAAGGGCCCACAGTGTCCTCCCTTGGCACAAGCCTTCCCTGAGGTAGTGGGGCAGAGTTAGGTAATGCTCTCGTAGTTTCTCTGTTAATATTTCTAAAATGGGGGCTGGGTGGGGTGGCTTACGCCTATAATCCTGGCACTTTGGGAGGCCAAGGTAGGAGGATCACTTAAGGCCAAGAGTTTGAGACCAGCCTGGGCAACATAGCAAGACCCACCTCTACCAAAAAATTTAAAAATTAGCTGGGTATGGTGGTGTGTGCCTGTAGTCTTAGCTACTTGGGAGGCTTAGATGGGAGGATCAGTTGAGCCCAGGAGTTTGAGCTTGCAGTGAGCTGTGACTGCATCACTGCACTCCAGCTGGGTGAAAGAGCAAGACCCTGTTTCTAAAAATGAAAAACAAACAATCCTCCTCCATACCTTTCTAAAATAGCCCTTACAGGACTACAGCACAATCTATTCATTTACCTGCCTACCTCTTGCAGGGGAGGATGGGATTCCAGGGTGGAATTCTGACATCCCTTTAAATTTGTTTCCTTCGTGTCTGAAAAATGCTGGAACATAGTGGATACCCAGACACACATGGTGGTATCTTAAAGGCTGAGCATGCAGTATCTGCTCGGTAAATGTTCAACAACTCTTTAAAGTAATGAATGAATGATTATGTGATGGATGAAAAGAAAAGGACCAGTAAGAGGCAGATGTAGGTAGATGGTGGCTAAAGTCAGAAATAGGGATGTCAATTCCTGACCTAAGGAAGACTTTCAAGTCAGTGGTGGACATACTCTACAACCTCACCTTTCAGAGACAGCTCAAGCCCCTCCTTCATATCTAGACCGGAGTGTCTACAGATGAGTGCTCTGTTCTACCTTTCTGATCCGGGCACGAAACAACCGAGGAGGAAGTGAAGAGGACAGAAAAGCCAGGCTCTATCACCAAACACATGAAGTCTATGAAAATATTTTTTAAAAGAGTTCTCGTAAGGATGCTTTATTTATGTGCCTGTAGAAGAGGCATATATATATGTGAGGTCTGAGAATTCACTCACGTATTTAATTTGGAATTTACGTACAAGGTAATCTAGGTGACAAGGGGAGCCGTGGATCATGATTCCAGCCCTTCCCCAACCATTACAAAATTGTAGACTCTCTGGGGTCATCTAGTCTACTTCTGTCACATTACAAACCAGGAAACTAAAGCGCTGAGAGGAGAAAGACCTCCTCAAATTGATGAGCTAATCAGGCAGAAGCTGAGACCAGAAAGCAAGCCTCCCGAATCTCATTCCAACCTTCTAATCCCATTTCACAATATCGTACACATGGTCATGAGAAAACAGCAATTCAAGGGCTCAGGACCACATGAGTGAGGCAGGGAGGGACTGGTCATGAGAGCAGAAAAGGACCCAGACCTCCCAAAGATGGGCATGGAGCAGCCTGAACAACTGCAGCCAGGAAGTGGAAGGCCAGGTCAACTCTCTTCATCTCTTCTAAACCTATACTTTAATTTCCTAACAGCCCAAGACTGGAAACCAGGAA